GCAGCGCAGCCCCAAGGCTCCTCCCCATGTGTGCTGCTGGCAGAAAACCCACTTGGCCCAGCAGTAGTATGAGACTTTGCTGCCTGGTAGGCAGAGGGAGACCCTCCCAACTTTATCAGCTCTCTTTCAGCCCAACCAGGGAGGTGCCTGCAGGAGCCAGCCCCAAGAGGTCCTTCCTCCCCATTGGTGTCCAACACAACCGTGCTGCTTGTCAGGCCTGGGCAGAGCCACATATCAGTCTTCCCACCCCATTAACCCTGCAGCCCCTCCCTTGCTGAAGGCCAGGCAGAAGGCAGCCTAACCCATGTGACTCCAGCAGAGACTTCTGCACTGATTACAGAGGTGCAGCCAAAGCAAACCACCCACCTAGACCAAGACCACTACAGAAGCTGCACACCAACATCTTGGGCTCCCACACTGGAGAGTAGAGTTGAGCTTCTGGGCATTAGAGGACACCTTCAGAAAGCTATTGCTCGATAGCTCAGGAAGCAGCAGAACCATCTAATACAAAGGGAGAAACACAGAAACCCTGACAGAATGAGACAGAGGACTGTGTTCCAAACAAAAGTTCAAGACAAGACACCAGAAAGAGAGCTAAGTGAAACAAATCCCTAATCATCTTGATAAAGATTTCAAAGTAAAAGTCATAAACATGCTCACAGATCTACAGAAAAATTCAAGATCTCAGGGAGAACTTCAACAAGAGAAGACCTGAGAAAGAGCCACTCAGAGCAGAAGAATACAGTATCTGAAATGAAACATACAATGGAGGGATATAAAAGCAGATTATTGCAAGTTGAAGAAGTGTTAACTGAAATGGAAATCAGGGAACTAGAAAACAATGAAGCTGAAAAACAGAAAAAATGATCGCTAGGAATGAAAGAATAGTAAGAGCTGTGTGACCAATCCAAATGGAACAATATTCACATAATAGGTAACAAAGGGATAGAAAGTCTCTTTGAGGAAATAATTGTTGAAAATTTCCCCAGCTGGGGAAGGAAATAGACACGCAAGTCATGGAAGTGCAGAGAGCTCCTAAAAAAGGAACCCCAGGAAGACAACACCAAGACATATAATAAAATAGCAAAGATCAAGGATAAGGAGAGAGTACTGAAAGCAACCAGAGAGAGAAAAAAGATTTCTTATAAAGGATATCCCATCAGGCTATCAGCAAACTTCTCAGAAGGAACTTTACAGGCTAGAAGGGAGTGGCATGATTTATTTAATGTAATGAAACAGAAGGACCTCCAACCAAGAATCCTCTACCTGGAAGGATTATCATTTAAATTTGAAGCAGGTATTAAACAATTTTCAGATAAACAAAAATTGAAGGAATTCATCACCACTAAGCCAGTCCCACAGAATATGTTAAAGGGACTGCTGTAGATGGAAATGTTCCTAAGGCTAAATAGCTTTCACCAATGAAAATAAACCCACAGTAAAGGTAGTAGAACAATTAATTACCAAGCAAGTATGAAATTAAAACAAAACAGAAGAAGCAGAATCAACTATTCCCAAAATCAGTCAAAGGATACATAAAAAGTGCAGATTATGACATCTAATAC